GTAGGAGAGCTTGTCGGAAGGCAGCCGGGCCTCCATGGCGAGGGAATCGAGAGTGATACCAAGGAACTCGAGTGAAGTGGTAGGACCCTCGACCTTGGATAACTGGAAGCGCAAGCCTAAAGCGGTCCCCAGGCTAAGTGTCCATTCCAGCGCATGTTGGACTAGCGAGGCAGGAGTGGTCGGGGCGAAGATCTGCAGGAAATCGTCGAGTAGATGGCGGACAAAGGCAGGGAGATGGTGGTCCATGATCCAGTGAAGTGCCTCGGAGAACAGGTTGAAGATGTAGGGGGCCGAGCGCAAGCCAAATGTGAGGACAACGTGGTAATAGAATTCGCCGCACCAGGTGAAGCCGAGCAATGGCCAGTCGGCTTGTCGGACGGGTATCTGGCGGAAGGCTTGTTCAAGGTCCAGCTTGATCATGCTGGACCCTCTTCCTGAGGCACGAAGGGCGTCGACGGCCGAAAGGAAGGTCTCGTACTGTAAGGACACTTCCGAGTCGGGTACACCATCGTTGACAGAGGTACCGTTGGGCCAGGAGAGGTGGTGGATTACACGCAGCTTTGAGGAACGCTTGCGTGAGGCAACTCCGAGAGGCGAGGAGCGGAAATTAGGGAATGGCGGCGCGGGGAAGGGTCCATGCACACGCTGCTTGGAGAGCTGCAGCTGGAGGTCGGTGTCCACAACGTCAGCGTGTTCGGCGGCAGAGGAGAGATTCCTAGATCCTTGAGAGACTGCGCGGTCGCCTAAGAATCCAACGTCTGCACCATAGTCGATGATCCGGAGAAGCGTCTCGACGAAGGCGGGATCTGGGTAGTCGCGTAGGTGGTACTCCCATGCCGCTCGTTGCAGATGGGTTGTGACCCGCGTTGTTTCGGCCTCGTGTGCAGCGTTCGCGCGGGGTTCGGTGTTAGGGCGCCGAGGGGGGTAGAATTGGGGCGGAAATTCGGGGGCGTGAGGTAGAGGTGCGTGTGGAGGGGCTCCACAAGTGGCGGACTTGGGGCAGCCAAAGGTGGGCGCAGCGGACTCTGAGGAGAGGAGCGGGAGCTCGGCGTGTATCGTGGTCAACGGGCCCACGGGGGGCGCGGCGTGTAGGCAAGAGAGACGAGGGGCCTGGTACTCGACGGAGAGGAGCTGCGACGGGGGGCTGAGCTCGGCCGAAGATGCGGTGTGGCCACTGGAGTGGCGCGGACGGAAGCGTCTGGATCGTTGTCGCCGTTGGCGGGGCGCCTTGGCAGGATCGTACCGTGTGCAAGAGAGGTGAGGGAGCGCAGTGTGCGGTTGCGCTCGTACTCGCGGAGAGGTCGCTTGATTGGAAGGATATGTTTGTGGGCAGGTGGGGCTGGTGCCGAAGTGGCGAGACCGCTGGCGCTGTCCGCCTATGAAGCGTGTAAAGGGCGAATTGGCAGTCATTGGAACGACACCTGCAGTGGCCCGAGGTGCGGGTCGTCGTAGACAAAGAAAACGGCGCCGGCGCGATGAAGTCGCCCGGGCGGCTGCGAGCGGAGCATGAGACGACAACTCGGACGCGCTGTAGCGCAAGTGGCACGTACCTGCGAGCGGAGCATGAGACGACGGCGTCTCTGCTCTCGCTCGCGAGGCTATCTATATGGCACAGAGCATCGTGCTTTGTCCTGTCGCTGCCGCGACGAGGACAAAGCGTCGGAGTCACGTGGGCCTCGTCCGCATCGCGAAGACC